AACCTGAGAACATTTTAAATGACGGGGAAATAGCCAATTGGTTGTGGCTGCAGTAAGTTATTGAACGTAGGGGCTTGCCAAATTGTGAAGCAGCTGCATACTATAATTATAGCGGGTTCGGTTATATAACAGGTCTTATAGGACGGGTACACTGCTGCGGCTGTCATTATAGTCGTATATAATATGCAAGCTTCTGCAACCAATCTAACGATCCAAGATTGACTTTTTGGTTCAAATGGCAAGAGTAAAATGCTAGAAAAATAATAATTAGGTTTTACCCTTTCTGGCAATAAAACAGGAAGTGTTAAGATGTTTAAACAACAAATAGAAACATTTTTCAAGGCATCAAGTCTGCATTAACCACACATAGTTGGCAAAACATGCAAACAAACATGCTGTGATAATATATGTATTGTCTTTGAAACTGATTGGCCAACACCAGACAGCATTCTTCATGACCTTGTCTCACCAGTGTTAGACCAGAGAACGCCAAAAGGCGAACAGTACAAATACAAACTTGATTTTGGAGCTTTCGTGACTGCAGGAATTACTCTTTGGTTATTTCGGTAGTCACATAGAAAGAAAAAATAAATTAAATAATAGCATACGACGTTTCGATTGCAACACAAGCAATCACCATCAGGTACAAATGAAAGAGAAAATAAACCTAGTAAACTTAAAAATAGAATGCAATGCAACACAGAGAGTCGGCTAACATAACAGTCAATACCCTACCTGGTTGATTACGTTCTTCCAAAGATTGCTTAACGTGACAATGCAATATAGTTGGCCATGACGGGTGAAGGGGGAGTGTGTCCAACGCACGTTTCACTCGTGTGATCTCAAGTGAAACGTCAATTGTGAATCGCGGTGTTGCAACTCTCGTGTAGGTTCGCTTGCTGCTGTTGTAGGAACTGTGTGCAATCATTTATGTGCTTGCATTGATTGGTTCAAGCGAACCTGGCTCTGCTGAAGAGACACTGAATATTGAAATCGGTCCAGAGTTTGCTTGTGTTGAACACATTCTGCAGAAATTGTGTCCTCTCAAGTGGCTATGTGGCTGATGAGATGTCAAAAAATACTCCTTATGTTTTACGTGGAAGAACAGACATGGAGGCAAATTGTCTCGATTATTTATTTTGTTAGCTATATTCTCCGTTTTATATCATGCACAGTGTTGTATTTTTCACCTTTAAGGGCATGATGGTATTCAGTCTCTTTTCTGTTTTTAAAAAGGAAAAAAAATCCATGCCTGGTCTCAAGGAAAGGCTTTGGTCGAGGTGGGTATGTGCATGAGCAACCTTTGAATAGAAATAGGCAAACGCATTTTCTCTGAACATGTGTAGTGTGGTGTACGGAGGCACACATTGGCGTTGGAGGCAACACGTTTATTTAACAGCTTCCCAACAACTTAACTCTAAACGTAACTTGTTCAACATCTAAGTGATAACTATACGGTTCACTACGTGAGTAGCGGATTTACTACATGAACGGGTCAGTCAGCTTACATGCTGCCTGACCCATGATGCCGAGCGAAGACCGAAGATCCGGAGACGACGAGACGCAGGACCCCAGAATGATTCCACAGACGAACCAAGAACGCTCTCGGCACTGCCCATTTATGATCCTGAGCGTGACCTTTCCCCTTCAAGGCCTTTCCTGAAGGATCTCGACCAAGCAGTCACGTGTCCCTCAAGCCCCCCTCGGGCCCCCCTCACTACCCCATTCCGGTTACATGCCTTCTCGGGTTCACCCAGACTACCATGTCCTGACTAGCCCTCTCTCAGGCCGCCACCAGGACTACCAGGACTATGCCCCCTAGGGCCCGTTCGCATACTGTACTCATTCTGGCCCCAGAGAGGTTCCAGACGCACAGTAGAACTCTTATGACAGTGGCTGGTGCTAACACCAGAGCGACACCCTTATCGTCACTACACATGTGTCAATCAACATCACTGAACGTCCTTGCAGAGCAAGACATTTTCAACTCACAGGATTTTGCACGTGAGATATTTGATTTTAAATAGTAAACGTTAACAAAAAAATGCCAATTAGCGCGAGTTCCAGGACAGGTGGTGCAGCAATCGAGGAGCCAGCTTCTCGAAATTGCATAGGCAGTGAGTTCAGATCCCAGCTAGAGGTTGACTCAGCCCATCTTTATCCCTCCCTCTGGGGTTGCTAAAATTATTACGCCCATTCTGGGAAAGTTAATAGTTGTAAAACTGTTTTTTTTTAACTATTAAACTATTTATTCTTTTACCAGGTAAAGCCCACTGAGCTATGTAGCTTTTTCAAAAGTGACCTGGCTATCACAAATGATAGCTCAACAAAGTGGCTTATCATGTAGACATTTATAGCAGCCAAATACTCTAAACGCACGTTTCTAAATGTGGAGGGAAAAACCGGAGGACCCAGAGAAAAATCCACGCGACCACAGGGAGACATGCAAACTCCAAATATAGTCGTCAGGGTCAGAATCTAACCCACGATCGCCTGCATCCCAGGCGAGGTAGTTAACGTCTCGTATGGATAGATTTGGCCCTGCCAATAGGAATGCAGAAATTAACTAACTGCCTCTGCAGCATTGTAAACAAAGATTAGCACCAAGGGCTCGATGCTCACTCACGCAGGAAGTCACTTTGACTTTGATCTTGCGTGTGCGAGGAGGTCTCAGTTACACACACCACTCTGAGAAGGTCAAAGGAGCACGTGGCAGGAGGGGCACTGCGGGCCTAATAAGGGAGTAGTGGTTGTCTATTGGATGGAACAGATGTCTGAGTAGGGCATTTGGAATGGCAGCTAGGAGTTGGTAAACACTTTAGCCCAGATGCTGATGGGAAGACACCTTGGGCAAGGTAGTTATTGTATTGTGGAAGCAGTGGTTCGTCGCTGCGTTGTTTAAAATCAACAGTGTTGAAATTAATACACTAATATGGCTCATTCCCAATATCTGTCTCTCCACGTAAAAAAAGTGTTGTTTTTACATCCCATCAGCCACACGAAATTCTGAAAGTGGATGATTTCCGCAGCATTGATTGAATGCCAGGCTTGGTGTCTGATGAGCAGAGTAAGGCCTGCTGGTGAACTCCCAGATGTTGATATATTTATATGGGCCAAATGTTATTTATAGGTTATGGGTCCTACCCTTTGGGTCTTTCGGTAAAGTCACGTAGATAGAAAAATAAATAAAAATCACGACGTTTCGATTGCAACACAAGCAATCGTCCTCAGGTGAAACATATAGCAAGAGAGCTGCTGAAGCAGGGTGTTATATAGACCTGAGATGGGTGCAGCCCAAGGGAAAGTGGACAGGGTTAGAGAAGGAAGATTGAGGGCACTCCAAAGCTGTTGGGCTGGCCATTGTATTGTGAGAGATTAGCATGTCAATGTAGCCACCGCCACATCGAGGAATGTAACTCAGAGAGTCGGAAATAACTGCTAACATCGGCAGGTAGGATGGAAAGATCACAGCCAGTTATGACTTAAACTGGTTAATAACGTCCTGCTCAGTTTGAACCCATCTTCTCGGATAAAATTGTGTCTGTTTATACATCTGGATGGCTTCATGAACGAATCTTTGTTTGATAGCTAATAGGTTTGCAGAGTACCCTCGTCTTGGAGAAATCAATTTCATGTGTGCCCACAGCATTAAAACAATGATCATCCACGGCCGAGGTATTGGTACTACCGTGTTTCAGATCTGCCTTATGTTCACGAACATGGTCCGAAACAAATCGCTTAGTTTCCCCAATGTAACTACTGCCGCAGCCACAGCTTAGTTTTTATGGGTCCTAGTTTGACGCAAAATAAAAAAAAATACGTAGCAGAAAATAACAAAATACATTTTGGGAAAACTAAGAACATGTTAGACATAATCCTGTAAATCAGAACTCAAATGTTCCATCTAAGCATATATATACATATCTGTTGTTAACCAGGTAAGAACGCAAGAGATCAGGATGGTCTCATTTGGAAGTTTTCCATACCTCTGATTCGCAAAGTTGACTTACGTGCAGTGCAAAATAGTTCAACATGCATGTGGGTCACCTGAATAACCGAAATTATGAAAGAAAAAACGTAGAAATATGTTCAACAATGAAGCAAATATAAATCAAAGACAATCAAATGGAAATCAAATCAACAACAACAAAATATATATCAGAGTGAATAAGACCACGTTAAATGAACTGGTCAGTTTTGCAGCAGAGGTAACACTCTTAATTAGTCGAGCAGTAATATGATTTCATCGGCTACGTGAGGTTATGCGGAAAGTCACTCTATACATAGTTTCAGGTCTTCTCAGTCAAAGTCATGCCCGAACTGGACCCCTCTGAAGGAACATCTGTGCAAGTTTGAAACATTCAGGCTGGCCTGCCTATGATCCATCCTCGATTTAACCAGACTGGATTGTGTGAGGAGCTTGCAGATCCTTGAAAGATCTGCACTTCGTCCCATCAGTGATCTACTCTGGCAGGAAATTATGTATAGTTTTGTTCATGTAGCCAACATCCCCAGCCACCGCATGCCCAAGCAGTCTGTTTCGTCAGATTAAGGGAGCTAAACAGGTGTGACACAGGCTAGAGATAATATAGGCACATGTGGTATGGGAGGATGTGGAGCCGTGTGAACTTGCGAATAACTGATATCAGTGGTATCAATATCGACTTCTATGAAGCAGGCTCGTGAAGGATGTTACTGAGCAGTCACTCTCCAAAAACAATGGAGGTCAGAGGGGCGACACTCGCAACGGCGAGCGGAGTGCGGGGTGAATAAACGCAGCAAGTTGGCACAGTAGGGAGCACAGTTGGTGGATCTGCCAAGTCACCTCAGTCAGTCGACCCATGGCACCTAGATCTGTCCCGTGACGTGCCAGCGAGCCTTCGGACACTTTACATGGCCTCAAAATGCACCTAGCCGGCCACGAGTGCCGTGATGACATCATCGCCACTTTGTTGGCGGCGAACAGCTGTTGTTGTCATCATCGTCGTGTCTGTGTGCAGGTTCTGGACCCACACTACGGGATGTACGTGTGGCCCTGTTCCGTCGTGCTTGCGCAGTTCGTGTGGCACAACAGGGCACTTGTCAGAGACCAGCTCGTGCTCGAGGTGAGAACGGTGCCTGGCACACAGCTCACCTCCCACCTGGGCTGCCGTAGGATTAAAATTAGACCAAAACCATGACAAATCGCGCGGGGGGGGGGGGGTTACGTTCTTTGAAAATGATCGCGCAATCGGAAAAGCTGCGATCCCAAAGCTCACAAAAGTCGAATAGGAAAAAAATCGAGTTTTGGTTCACGGTTCGTAATACAACCCCTTTTCTTGTTTATGTTATCCTGTATGACCCAAACATGAAACGGGAACTATTTGAATACAAAATATGATTAATATTTTCTACAGTATTACATATGACTTGTACAGTAAATGTATTGAATTAAAAAAGTTACGTAGTGTACAATACTGTACTGTATACATTCAAATAAACCTGAAAATAAAGATGAGGTTCATGACATGTGTACAAAAAGACATTTACTCCCTATTAATGATGGTGCGTCTATTCTTCTGCAGCAACATCGCGAACAGTGCAGTTAGCGCACTGTACTTCTTTCAGATGCGTACTGTACAAGAATCTCTCAGTCAAACCGTAAATGGCCGAGCCACGTGGGGCACGGTCGGCGAACCGTACCTCGATAAATTGGCGCGAATGCTCACATCCGCAATGGGAAAACCCACGATGAGCAAAGTTTGAATGTATTGGACATTTAGCTATGCAACACTCAGATACCTCCATAATAGAGTTTGTTTTGGGTTAGATTGCATAAATATAAATGTGTTGTTAAACCCGCCATGTTGTGGGTTTACTCTCCAACACACCGGTGTGCTGAACTAGTAGCGAATTGGCACGTTTTGTTAAGTGACAAACCTTCCTAATTGGCTGTGTCGGGTGGTGGCGGGTTTCACAACACATTTATATTTACTCGATCTAACCCCAAAAAACCTCTGGTTAATATTGGTCGTGAAAGCCTACATGTTACTCTGATACTTCAATACAGCTCTTTATTGGATTGATATTAATATAGCCACGATCAACAAAAGTAAACCCAATGATCATATCATGTAAGGCTGGAAATACTGCAGTTCCTATACTCTTTTATTCTTTCGGTAAAGTCACGTAGGTATAAAATAAAATAAATCAGGACGTTTTGGGCGCAACACAAGTGTCCGTCATCAGGTGGGAAAGCATGGTCTGCGGCTGAGGAAGACTGTTTTAAAAAGGTTTGAAATGGGTGTAACCCAAAGGTCATAAAGAAGTGGCCGGGGCTAGTGATGTTAATGTGAGAAATTAGCATGTAACTGTAAGAAAGAAGGAGAGCGGCCTCCTAGACGAGGGCACGGAAGTGGCTATGTCAATGTGAGAGATTAGCATGATGTTAATGTGAGAAATTATCAAGTAATTGTAAGAGAGGAGAGCGGCCTCCTAGACGAGGGCACGGAAGTGGCTATGTTAATGTGAGAGATTAGCATGATGTTAATGTGAGAAATTATCAAGTAATTGTAAGATAGGAGAGTGGCCTCCTAGACGAGGGCACGGAAGTGGCTATGTTAATGTGAGAGATTAGCATGATGTTAATGGGGGATATAAGTATGTAATTGTAAGATAGGAGGAGAGCGGCCTCCTCGACGAGGGGAGTGCAACCCAACATATGAGCATGAGAGATCTAAGAGAGGCATAGATAGAGACACAGAGAGTCAGAAATAACAACTGACATAGGTAGGTCGGATGGAAACATCACAGTCAGTTAAGACTTTACCTGGTTAATAACGTCCTTCCAATGATTGCTCAGTTTGTACCCATCCTCTCGGTTGAAGTTGTGTCTGTGTTTATATATCTGGATGGCTTCATGAACAAATTTCTGAAGGCAGCCGGTAGGTTTGCAGAGTACCTCCGTCTTGGAAAAATCAATTTTGTGTGAGCCCCCAGCGTTAAAGCAATGATCAGCAATGGCAGAGGTATTAGTCCTACCGTGTTTCAGATCTGCCTTGTGTTCACGAACGCGGTCCGAGACATGTCGTTTCGTTTGCCCAAGGTAACTGCAGTCTCAACCACAACTCGGTTTGTAGACACCAGGGTATTGCATGTCAGGAATCACTTCCTTTACAGATGGGATTAAATCACGGATTTTGTGTGTTGAAACGAACCTGGATCTTGTGTTTGTTTAATATTTTGGAGAAAAAAAATGGTAACCCCTGCTATGTACGGTAAAATTATGGTTATGGTTGGATCCTCAGAAAGTTATCTCCGCATGGCTGGGGAGACAGCTTTGCGGATTGTACGGTCCGAGTATCGGTTCATCCTGAGGGCTTGGTGTACGTGCTCCAATTCACTCCTTGACTCAGTCTACCAGACACAGACTGTTTCGTCTCATTCAGAATCATAATATTTATTTATACTGGAGGAATCCAATGAGCTATGAAGCTCTTTATTCACAGATGTCCAGTAGGGGCGGGTAAGAACGTTACAACAAACAATACAAAACACAATGTGTTGAATCACCACACTGTAAGGTCACAACTACAGACTCACTCACCCACTTATTTACCACACTGCAGATAACACTTTTATTTCTGCTCTTCCCTCGCACTGATCCACTTTGAAATCCGCCCCCTCCCCAATCACTCAAAGACTCACAACTGCAAATGATTACTAACAAACAGCACAAGTGTTGTGAGCTGCAGACGTGGTGAGTGGGTGGGTGAGTGGGAGAGTACGCGAGTCAGTGAGTAGGTAGGTGAGAGATCAGACATCCACCCTGCGTCCTTCCCTGTGGAAGAGGTATGTGGATGACACTTTCGTCATCTGGCCACAAGCCTCCCAGCATTGATCCACTTCTTGGACCACATCAATTCCAGACACCCATCCATCAGAGTCACCATGGAAGTGGAGAAAGATGGTAAACTACCATTCTTGGATATTCTGTTTGAGAGGAGGCCTGACGGATCCTTGGGACATTCTGTCTACAGGAAAGCCACCCACACAGATTCCTACTTGAAACCGGATTCCCACCACCACCCATCTCAAAAGAATTCTCTCATCAAAACGCTATACCACAGAGTCCATGGCATTTCTGACCAACACCACCTGGCCGGTGAATTAAGACATGTACATCGGGCCCTCAGGATGAACGGATACTCTGACCGCACTATCCACCAAGCTGTTTCTCCCACCACACAGAAACAGCCACATGAAACTCCGACCAAAACTATCACGTTACCATACATAGCAGGCGTGACCAAAAAGATCTCCAAAATTCTAAACAAACATAAGATCCAAGTCTGATTCAGTACAGTGCATAAAATCTGTGATCTGATTCCATTTGTGAAGGATGTCGTTCCTGACTTACAGTATCCTGGAGTCTACAAATTGAGTTGCAGTTGTGGTGATTGCTACATTGGAGAAACGAAACGTCATGTTTCTGATCGTGTCCGCGAGCACAAGTCAGATCTGAAACACGGCAGAACTGATTCTTCGGCCGTTGCCGATCATTGCTACAACTCGGTGTGCTCTCATGAAATTGTCTTTTCCGAGACCAAGGTGCTCTGCAAACCTCCTGGCTCCCATCAAAGGTTTGTACACGAAGCCATACAAATATACAAACACAGACACAATTTCAACCGTGATGATGGTTACAAACTGAGTAATCATTGGAAAGATGTGATTAACCATGCAAAAAAGATTTAACTACACTTATTTGGACCATCTTATTTGACAGACAACTATTACAGGTTATTGATAGACAGCCAGGCTTGTTTTACCATGTCTAGTTGTTTCTTTTTTCACAATATTGTTATGTAGGCCAGGCTTAGTCACAAACCGTACCTCTCCATAACAAAGGCTCAGCCTCTTAAGCCTCACCTTATCATATTAATAAAAAGTGTGCCGTATTTGGCCCTTCCCCCTCTCCAACCATTATATATACGGAGTGGTAGCTCTTGTAATCTCTCATTTACTTGATACAGCTGTCGTGGCTGTGACGGTTCCACCTGAAGATGGAAGCTTGTGTTGCCTCCGAAACGTCGTGATTTTTATTTTATTTTACTTTTATTAATTTTAATGTTTTACCTACGTGACTTTACCGAAAAAACCTAAGAATATAGAAAAATGAAAGATCAGGTGTAGGGTAGCGGTTAGCGCGCTGCACTACATGCCCGGTGACCCAGGTTCGATACCCGCTCATGGCCAATACCAGTGACAATTTACCTGAACCGGTCCTGGGCCTCCCTTAGATTGACTCAGACTCAAACGAGTACCTGGTGCGGTGTATAAACATCACCACTGGGGAGACAAAGGCAGTGAGGTGTGGTGCTGGCTACCCACCCCCTTCGTGTGCCGTGCCGGCCTTAATAGGTGCTCGCTAATAGCACTTGCCCCAACAGCCTGTTAAAGGCTATACGGGGGGGGAGGAGGAGTGGTCTTTGTATTTGGGTGAGCGGGTGAGCAGGTGAGTGGGTCAATGAGCAAGTGAGCGGGTGACTGAAACGGTTTGTTCCCTTTCTCGTGTGCTAGCTCGGGGCTGGCACGGCATTACCGGGCATCGTGGCTGCCAGGTGTGGTGCCACTGTCACTCTGTCCGACCTGCCCCGGTGCCTTCCCAGTTGCGCTCACAGCTGTCGGGTCAACGGCCTCGATGGCTCCGTGCCAGTCTTGGGTCTGCGCTGGGGCCTAGTGACCCCCTCGCTCGTCACAATGCCGCCCCTGGACATTATCCTCGGTTCCGATATCCTCTACGAGCCACGTGGTGAGTGACACAACCCCCTGCTGCTGCTGCCCCTCTCCATGGCAGCCTGTGTATTAACCTCTGTGCGTATAATTAAATGTTCCACGGTGACCGGTCTTCGTACAATGCACTGCCGATGTGATGGTTGCAATGTCGTGGGGGTTTGTTCTGTTTTAACGTTCTCCTTCTTTCGTATTAATTAATAGCAGCAGCAGCAGATTAAATATGTCATTTTATATTTGTTTAACACGTAGGCGTTCGCGACCAATATTAACCATTATAATATTATTGTCACCTTGTTGAGGCTGGTTGTAGTTACCAGAAAAATATTGTACTACGAATTGTAAATGTTGTGGGTTTAACTCTCCAACACACCTGTGTGCTGAACTAGTAACCAATTGGCACATTTTGTTTATGTGACAAACCTTACTAATTGGCTGTGTCGGGTGGTAGCAAATTTAACAACATTTATATTTACGTGATCTAAACCAACAAAACCTCATGAATTTCAGATGTTGTTATCCACTCAGTTGTCTGTTCAGAAGCAGAGTAGATGTCGTCCATTCCTCCTTTAGAGGAGTGAAGACCGCAGCAGTGGCTGAGTGTTCACGATAGTGGTCGATGGTTTGGGATTCATGGCCACACTCGCAGGCCACCGAATCTTTGATGCGCTATTTGTGCATCAGGTGGCCGCATCGGCCACACGCCCCCCGGTCCCGTTTCAGAATCAGAATATCAAATTTATACTGGAGGAGGAATCCGATGAGCTATAAAGCTCTTTTTCACAGATATCCAGTAGGGGCACGGGATAATAACGTTACAACAACAAACAATACAAAAACACCATTGTAGTGCAAAGTACAAGAAAGGTAAACAAAAAACTCAAATACATGCAAATGAAAGTAAACCACCCCCATCCTACCAGGCAAAGTTCACTGATATATTAACTAATATTTCAGAAGCAACCTGGCCACAACTGATAGCTCAACATAGTGGCTGATCATTTGGACATTTATACCAGCAAAATAATCAAAATAATCTCAGTCGATGGTCGGACCATTGGCAGCATGCAAGGTTGAAACCTGGGAGGTTCGACCGCTAGGGCCCCCTGTTAGAGAGACGTTCATTTTTAATGTTTGATCAACAGTGTTCACCAACTGCTGGACTCTCATTACCAACTTCGGCAATACTTCTGCGGGGCCCCTCCATAGGAGAGTCATGTCAAATTGTAACGCCGCCGCCGCACAGTATCTGCTCGCTCGATCACGTAGAGAGAGAGAGAGGATAACTCGAGAGGTGCAAGGAAGAATAGCAGATGAGCGAGAAGTCGGCACATGTAATAAGCTCACGTGCGAACAATTGCCCAAGGTCTGCTGTCCTCCATATGCAGGTGTTATCTGCCAATTAACACGGTTGGCTATGTACAATGCGAAAGAAGTTGAATGTGCACACATACCACGGATAAAACGAAACGAGAATATAGATGGAGATTAGTCCTCACATTGCTGTACCCCCTTCTCCTGGCGAGCAAAAAGGTACGGCTCATCCTCAACGCCCACAGGAAGGGAGTTTCGTAACATTTGTGGGGTGATACACCAACCCTCACTTCTCCCTGTACAGCACTGGATTACCAGGCACATGCATAGCCATGGGTGGGGGAAGCGTTAAGTATTAGATTTGTGAAGTTGGCATATGTCATCTCAGTCGACCAACCCATGGCACTTGTCTGTTCCATGACCTCTTTGTCAGCAAGGCCTTCAACACTTCATGTGGCCTCAAAAAATGCACCTAGCCTGGCACAAGCGGCGTAATGACCTCACCACCACTTAGTGGTATTCACCACTATTGTTGTTATCTGTTTTTAAGTTTTCAGTTGTATATTTACTCTTTGAGCAGTACGGCTATTAATACACTGTTCAAAGATATGTTATCTCCTTCGCCTGGAATACAGGCGTTCATGGGTTCGATCTCGACCCTGACGCCTGTATATTTAGTTTTCATGTTATCCCTGTGGTTGTGTGGATTTTTTTCCAGGTCCTCCGGTTTTTCCCTCTATATGTAGAAACGTGCGTTTAGAGTATTTTGCTGCTATAAATTTCCACGTGATAAGCCACTTCGTTGAGCTATTATTTGTGACAGCTATGTCACTTCTGAAAAAGAGCTATATAGTTCAGTGGGCCTTACCTGGTAAAATAAAAAAAAAGTTTTTGTTCTTTTAGTTTTCATTACAACAGAGGATTCTGAGGTCTAGAGCAGCTTGAGGAGTCTTTTGATTTCCTCGCTGTGACCCATACCTTGTTTCCATGCGTGGAAGGGGGTTGCTTAATTCAGAACTGAACCCTGGGTTTATTCTCATTCCTTACTCGACGTATCTTCAAGGAGGGCAATACACATTGAGCATTTAAAAAAAAAAGACCAACGGTTGTATAGATTTTATCAATCCGTTTTTTAAGCCAATTGTTTAGTGAAAGATCTTATTTGTGTTGTAAGAGAGGTGGCTCTGCTGGAGCAGCTGCTGGAGCAGAGAAATTATTATGTTAATGAAAGACCCAACTAGACTGGTACATTTTAGAGAGAGTTGTGTGGAAATCCACCCCGAAGCGACCGAGGGAGAGAAAAAGCGAATGGACCTATGAGAGCCTGGTAAATTTTAGAGAGAGAAATAGGCATTTTTCTTTGGTTCTTTCAGTAAAGTCACGTAGTAAGAAAATTAATTAAATAATAGAATACGTCGTTTTGATTACAACACAAGCAACCATCATCAGGTAGAAATAAATTTGAGAGAGAGACAAAACACAGACACGGAGACACAGACAGACACACAAGCAGAGAGAGACACACAACATAGACACACAGAGACCCAATGCCTCTGTGTCGAGGCCTTAAATAGAGAGAGAGGGGGGGTCAGAGAGAGAGGTGGGTCTGTTGGGGCAGCTGCTGGAGCAGAGAAATTAGCATGTCAATGAATCCACCCCAAAGCGACCGAGGGAGATAACGATCGAATGGCCCTATGAGAGGCTGGTAAATTTTAGAGAGAGAAAAAGGCCGTTTGAGAAAACAAACTTAGTAAACTGGGAAATATAATGCAATACAACACAGAGAGTCGGCTAACATAACAGTCAACACCCTACCTGGTTGATTACGTTCTTTCAAAGAGTGCTAAATTTGAGAGAGAGACAAAACACAGACACAGAGACACACAGACACACAAGCAGAGAGAGAAAACAGAGACACACAGAGAGAGACACTACAACACGACTTTACCGAAAGAACCAAAGAGTAATTCCTGCAGTCACGAAAGCTTCAAATCAAGTTTGTGTTGTGATTATTTGTGGATTTTTGGATTTTGATGGACCTCCTAAGCAGTAGATCTCTGAGGTTGTTTCCTAAGATTTCTACAGCAGTGAATTGTTCTTGGAAAGTTTAAACAATGTTGGGTCTGTTCAAGCATAATGTTTTAGATTTAGGCATACGGGCTCAGAGATCAATTGAAGCAAAATAGCGATATTAACATGCCCGGGGTATAGTTTATTAGCCAATTTTGACTCGATTTAAAGCTTTCGTGACTGCAGGGCTTCATCTTCTTGGTTCTTTTGGTAAAGTCACGTAGAAAGGAAATAATAAAATAATACAAATAAAACATAATAAAATAATTCTCATGACCTTTCGGCCACAACGCAAGCAGCCGTCCTCAGGTGAAGAACAGATCTGTCGGAAAGACACTGTCTTTCCTAAGCAGTAGATCTCTGAGGTCTTTCCGACAGACCTGTTCTTCACCTGAGGATGGCTGCTTGCGTTGTGGCCGAAACGTCGTGAGAATTAATTTATTATGTTTTATTTTTATTATTTTATTATTTCCCTTCTACGTGACTTTACCGAAAGAACCAAGAAGATCAATTTAGACTCGTTATATTTAAATGCAATATGCTAATTCCTTGACCACCAGGACACTGATTATCATCACAGAATTGGAGCTCAAATGTGTGTTTTGACCTCCAATTTGGTGAGTAGTGGTTGAGTGGGTGGGTGAGTAAGGGTTTTGTTGTGACCTATAGTATGATGGTTGAACAAAGTATGTATGACATAAAACAGTCAGTGTCTTGTAGACCGAGTCCTCAACATCAATGAAGGACTCAATGAGTGAATGTGATGATAATTCCCAGATTTTGAAGCTGTGCTGGTGACCGTGTCTTACCTTCTCAACAAGAACCCCCACGGACAGTTCTGGACCACCTACCAGGAGCGCAGGTATGCAGCGCCAACCAGGGGCGCAACTACGGGGGATATGTAGCAGCATTACGCGTCGCATGGGGGCCAGTTGGCCACAAGCGGCCCCGAATCAACAGATCAACAAGTAGCAAAATGTTAAGAAAAATTATTAAAATTCAAATGTATTCATTCAAAATAACCTGCAGTTTACCATGGACCAAGCCCGACTAACGCAGCTGACTATCGTATCAACAGAGCAGCAGACAGTTGTGCAATCCACCCCTTTGAGGAAATCGGAGACCAATATGGCCAGCATGAAAGCAAGATGCACGATAACTTAATAATGAGTATTGTACCTTTAAATATGTTTATTAATACTACCACTGTCCTCTTAACCCAATACATGGTGCAACTAAAATAATGTATATAGTGATAACCTACATATTATTGTACGGGTTAAAACCCATCCGCAGCTATTTCAGTTAAAAGTGAGAAACCAGGGGGGCCCACAGTCGTATTTTGCGTAAGCCCCCCCCGCCCCATTGAAATAGGTCATTGTGCCCCTGGTGCCAAAGCACATGGACACAGACACTCGATTAAACTATAAACACATTTTTTTTATTTTACCATGTAACACCGACTGAGCTTTACAGCTCTTTTTTAGAAGCGACCTGGCCACAAATGATAGCCGGGGGACTCAGAGAAAAATCTATTTAACCACGAGGAGAGAGACACAAAAACTTCAAATATACAGTAGGCGTCAGGATCGGGATCGAACCCATGACCTCCTGTATACCAGACGAGGTAGTTAACATCTGCTAGCGACCGTGGCACCCCTTTCCACCAAAGCGGCCAACATGCTCTTATTGCGTCTCAATAACTGCTGAATATTTTTCTGACTCCCAGCAATTGTTACTGCTGCCAGTACAGAGCAACACAATCGACTGCAGGTGAAAGTGCTGCTCCCAGTTCTTACCTCACAGCACCAGATAGAATTCAGCAATCAGGGTGATTGATGATCCAGCACTCACACATCCACTCCAGTCGTCAGTTGCCTATGCGTCACTCTGCTATTGCTACTACTAAGGGCACTGCAGTAGCGAGATGTTAACTCCCTCACCTGATATACAGGAGGTCGTGTGTATTTTTCTCCGGGTCCTCCGGTTTTTCTCTCCACATTTAGAATAAATGCGCTTTTAAAGTATTTGGTTGCTAAAACATTTCTACGTGATAAACCACTTCATTGATCTATCATTTGTGATAGCTAGAACGCCACATTTACAAATGTGATTTGTAAATTGATCCTTAACAATGTATTGAAAGTTACATTTTAACATACACTTTTTATTGAGGGACTGTGTGTTGTCTTGGTGTAGTTTGAGACTGTTTTTGCTGTTGTTTACTGCCTTTCCGAAGCTTGGGAATTGATGATGGAATTTTTAACTTATATATTTTATTTATTAATTAAAGAGGCGCCACGGTGGTGAGATGTTATCTTTTTCTCCCGGTATGCAGGGGGTCAGGGGTTCGATCCCGACCCTGACGCCTGTATATCTGGAGTTTGCACGTTTCTCTCTGTCTCCATGGTCACGTGGATTTTTTCTACGGGTCCTCCAGTTTTTCCCCTCTACATTTCGAAACATGCACTAAGATTGATAATTGTTTTTTTACCATTTTATCTGGTAACAAAACTGACACTTTTTTTTAGAAGGAGTCATGTTTGCATTGACCACAATACCTGCAGTCGGAATGCAAACAAAAAACACAACTCTGATAATGTATGCACCTTTTGGCATCATCTGGTCCAACACCATGTGAGACTAGGCTCTAAGAAAAGCTGTCTTGGGTGTGGACCAATCAATTTCAAGGACAGTGCATACATTATCAGAGTTGTGTTTTTTGTTTGCATTCCGACCGCAGGTATTGTGGTCAATGCAAACATGACTCCTTGTAAAAAAAGGTGTCAGTTTTGTTGCCAGATAAAAGGGTAAAAAAACAATTATCATATTTTGCTACTGGAAAAGGAGGTTCCAATAATGCACTAAGATTATTTTGATTATTTTGCTACTATAAATGTCCAATGATGGGCCACTTTGTTGAGCTATAATTTGTGGCTAAGTTTGCCTGGTAGGATCGGGATGTTTTTGTTGTATTTGTTTGGGTGATTTGTTTACTTTTTTTGTACAATGCACTACTATCATATTTGTGTATTTGTTGTTGTAACGATCTTACCCGGCCCCGACTGGACAGCTGTGAAAAAGAGCTTTATTGTTCATCGGATTCCTCCAGTATAAATAAATATTCTGATTCTGATTCCGAAAAAAAGCTATGTAGTTTACATTTTTATTTTCAACATTTTATTAGCAAAGGCCCACAAGGCCCCAACATGTCAAGGAACCAGCAACTAGCAGCACTGTCAGAGCTGTAACATGAGAGTTAACATGTTACTCTTATTAAGGAAGGTTTTTGTTGAAGATCTTGGGGGAAAAAGAGGTGATGGGAGGGAATTCCAAATTGGAGCAGTTATATCTTGTGATAACTTGTTTGTTATTTGTACATTCTGTTTTGGAACCATGTATTTGTTCATTAATTTTGCTTGGTAGTAGCTGTCTGTAGGATTTGATCCTCGTATAATTGATGTCCAGCGTTATGGGATGCAATTAGCATGAATGATGCTATGTATAATATGAATGTATTATCATAAGGGAGGAAGCTGAAAGAAAAATGAGGTGGCCTGCAGCATGGGACATGGGTGAGTGGGTGAGAGGGTGGATGATTGAGTGTGTGGGTTGGTGCATGTGTTGCTGTGAGTACCTCCGATTAGCATGGTTGTTCAACATACGCACATACAGTATTAGTAGTGGTCGAATACAGTCTGGTGGATGAGACGAGACAGTCGGTGTCTGGTAGAGACTGAGCGTTCAACATGGGTGGAGCAATCAACGAGTGAAGTTCACGGGAACAGTGACCATGGTAGTCATAGTGATAGACGAGTGATAGGGAGGCGACTGACGGCCGGTGAAGCGAGTGACCTGAGCAAATCGGTGAGTGCCGAATCGTCAATCACCCTGACCGCTTCACAGAAAATTTCATTTCCACACGGTGAGTTATTGCACTCGTATGTAAACAGACAATGGTCTGTGTCAAAACCCATCGAGGGCGAAGTTATCATGCGCAATTGAAAGTTCGCGAATGATGTGCGAGTGCGTGTCAGCCGCCAGCTGTTTTAAATCCCTCCATGTGCGTCTGGGTATTGCCGCGAGCACACATTTCTGTGCCTGACTGAAAGCTCCTCTGGCTTTACGGAGGCTATGAATACCCAAGGTGCCCCGGTGCTAAACGAGAACCCTCCCTGAGCCACGGCAAGGACGGGCTCTTGTTATATTGCAGCATTCCTTCTCACTGACTGTTTGGTCTCATCCACACGAAGATCAACCACAGTTCTACTGCAGGTCACGACAACACAACATTCACCCGCACAGTCGTCCACTCGCTCGCCTTGCTGCGAGGAAAGAATCGGAAAGAGAAGAAGTGTAGAAAGTGTTGCAACCTGATTGACTGTGGAAATGCTCACTGCTGGTTGTTGCTTTGACAACCCAAGTGCCTATGTTAGGCCTCACACCCTAAGCAAGTGGTTCAATATAGAAGATTCCTGGGGTTTGATCTTTCACGAAGCTCGTGGTCCACCCTCAACCGCATCCATTGCACAAACCATGGCCACAGTAGATGTGGATACGTGATGCACAAATAGAAATTTAAAACTTTCCATTGTATGACTGAGGTTATCCAGAACAAACCGGACAGCTTATAACGACGCAATGCCCTGACCCACAAATAGGAAGGAGAGATCACAGCAATAATATACTCCGCCAGTCCTGACGCGGTTATCTGGCTTGACCACCTGAATGTGAAATTGTAGTTGTTGCTCTGCATCTACATTAGCCATATGAAAAAAGAAGAATCTGCAGTGGTTGAAACTTAAATTGAACTGATGGTCTTAGCAGTGCTGGCTCCACCTCTGATCTGACTGTTTCTCTTAATTTTATTGATTAAAATATTTAACCTGGAAAATCCCTGGAGATGGAACATCTCATTCGCAAGGGCTTGCAGCATGTCAATTGACACTGACATGGCAAGAATTTGTGTCATTTTATAATTATTTTTATGATATTTTTATCATAATAATCTACTAAACTATATTTATTTTAGCAGTTAAGGCCCACTGAGCTATATAGCTCTTTTTGAGAAGTGACTTGGCTACAAATGCTAGCTCAACAAAGTGACTTATCATTTGGAAATTTATATCAGTAGCCAAATACTCTCAAGGCACGTTGATTCTAAATGTGGAGGGGAAAACCAAAGGACCCTGAGAAAAATCCACGCAACCAGAGGGAGACACGCAAACTCCAAATATACAGCAGGCGCCAGGGTCGGGATAAAACCCACGACCTCCTGCATACCAGGCAATGGAGTTAACATCTCGACAACATGGCGGTTTAGCTGGTAGCTATTGTCAGGTACATTATTATATCACGCCATTTATGCCAAGCACATCGCAAAACACGCAGAGAATTCACAAACAGAACCGCTTTTTGTCGTGCGTAAATACAGTGAGGGAAAAAAGTATTTGATCCCCTGCTAATTTTGTACGTTTGCCCACTGACAAAGAAATGATCAGTCTATAATTTTAATGGTAGGTTTATTTGAACCGTGAGAGACAATAACAACAACAAAATCCAGAAAAACGCATGTCAAAAATGCTATAAATTGATTTGCATTTTAATGAGGGAAATAAGTATTTGACCCCCTCTCAATCAGAAAGATTTCTGGCTCCCAGGATTTCTTTTATACAGGTAACGAGATGAGATTAGGAGCACACTCTTAAAGGGAATGCTCCTAATCTCAGCTTGTTACCTATGAAGGGGTGTTATGGTAGCGCTAACAAACACACAAGGGGTGTTTGCGCCCGCACGCGTAAGGGTGCCTACATCCACGTCCGCAACGGTTAGCCCTGGGGGGCTGTGACGGCGCTGTGATCC